ATTATAATACATTTCATATTCTATCAACAATTATAGAATTCAGGAGTCAATTAAGATAGGTCAAAAGGGAAGTTGGTCCATTTATTTGGTTTCTATCTTCATAAAACCAATTAGGATACATGCTAAATGGAGAATACCACCAGAAAACCAAGATTTCCAAATGAATTCTAAAAAAGTGATTCTTATGATTCGAAAATACCCTGAATTTTCTCCTTTTTCTCTCATGATGTATTACAACTATATTTTAAATGTCCATGCTTTGACATGTTATCAGAAGTGTTATGGTAAACTAGTTTCCGCTGCAGAGAAAAAAGTTAGCAGCACTTAGGAGATAGGCGAGCAAATAGTAAACCAGTTGGAAAAATTCCCTTTAAGATCAAAAGCCATTTTCAACAATTGAAGGTACAATGAACCTTGAGATATTGGAAACCAACCAGATGGTTTTATTGACAGGGAGAAAAAGAGATAAGAACAAGTACAGGTACACGAATTTTAAGTTTCAAGACCTAAAGAAACCTCCAGACATCTTGAAGAACGTAGAAACAACTACATACATTTCAGATTCACTAACAACATGCTCCGGAAAGGGGGAAAAAAAAGTGAAGACCTTGGAAACCAAAACAAACTAATTTAAAGCAAACACTAAGTCAATTTCCTTTTCCTAACCTAGCACATCTCAAATTTGTTACAAATTTTTTAGTTCCCAGCGTTTTTTGTTTCAGAGCTGAAGCATGAAATGAACAAGACCCAAAGAAGAACTCCACTAACTGAACTTCTTCTTCTCCAATTTACTCTTCCTTTCTCTGTACAACTCCACCCACAAATTCGAAATCCACAATATGCTAACAGAAATCGCCATAACAACAACAATCATCCAAGAAACCCATACCCACTTGGGAATCACACCATCAGCTTCACCACTCAAATAAAAAAACCCCATTTTGTACACAAAAAAAGGTCCAAACAGACCCCTAACAACGCTATAGAAAGCATAAAACGAAGGGGAAATAAGACCGTACACTTTGGCGGCGAGCACCAAGTCGCGCCTCCTCGCACTGGCAAGCGTCCAGACATTCTGGCAGAAGCTGGTGACCTCCGCTAGGACCAGCAGCCCGAGCACTGCGTAGGCGCCATGGAAAACGACGTAGCGACAGGTGAGCAAGACGAAGAGGGTGGCGAAGTGGTGGCCGATGAAGAGAACGTCACTAGGATAGAAAATCAGGTAATGGAGGATATCCATACAGAAGTATGCGACGCTGAAATCAAGAACGGCGTTCTGGGTCACGCTATTGGTGGAGGAAAACCCGCGATTCGGATCGGCGAGGATGGCCCTGGTGCCCAAAAACGCGGCGGGAGTTCCATGGAAGAGGGATATAAGGCAGGAGGCGGCTTCGGGTCGGGTCTTGGAGCTCCAACTTCGGAAAACAACGAAGTAAGCTAAGAGATAGATGACGACGAACATGGAGAAAAACAACGGGAGATTCGGTATGGATAGGGATTCCATTGAAACTCCTTTCAAGATTTGAAGCCGACACGAACAGGAGGTCTGATGGGTCGATAACGATTAAAATTGTGAAGAACAGCGATCAGAGAGATTACAGTTGAAGAAAAAGAAAACGGAAAAAAGAAAGAAAGTAGGTGGAGAAGGTCAACCAATGGCGGGGGTGGGTGATGATTGGTGTTTACTTTTATGGGAGATTAGATTAAAAAAAGGGAAATTGAGAGAGCTCCCCAAGAATGGTGTACTTCTCAAGAAGTTGAGAGCTCCCAAGAAGGAAGAAGGCAGAGAGCAGACTGGCTTTCTACCAGTGACAGAAGGCGAGCGAGGATGAAACGACGTCGTTAGGTTTGTACTATCTGTTGGCTCACTCGACTTTAATCATTTCACTGAGATTTCGTTCTGTTTTATTCTTTTTTTTTTTTATTCTCACACTTCTTTTCTTCTTCTGTTTTTTTCTTGATAAATTTTTGTATTTCTAATAAATTTTTTAAAAAATACGGTGAAAAGGTTATAAATTTTAAAAAATAAGTGAAAATAATTTTTCACTTAACTAAAACTCAATAAAAATAATAAAAATATTTAAGTTTAATAAAATAATTAAAGAAATATAAGAAATTAATAATTTTAGAATATTTTATTCAAGTTAATATTATTTGACTTCTATTTTTTTTTTCCAGTAATTAAAATATTTTATTATTTTTAAGAAATTAATTTTTTTCTTCAAATAAATTTTGCCCGGTTTAGCCAATTATAATTAGATAAAGATTTATTTTTATCAAAATATTTTTAGAAATTTAAATCTAAATTGGTTGGCAATTATGACTTCAATTGGTTGGCAATGTTTTGTCAATTTAATTATTATGTAGATAAAATAAATATATAAAATGTTATTAAAATACTTTATTGAATATGTATTTTGCCAACACGGATTATAATAATTGATTTGCTATAAATAATAATATGTATTGACAATTCTATATTTATTTCTAATTTCATATATAATTTAATTAAAATATGATAAAAACACATTTTTATAAATTAAAAAAATACCTTCATGTTAAATTAACTTTCGAAAAAATTATAAAAGCCCAAACCCTCTCTATTAGATATTCCGAACATATAACTCAATAATAATAAAATAAGCAATACTAAAATTTATAACTTAACAAAAATAATTAGAGTTTAGGATTACATTCTTTGTATGTTTACTTAAAATACTCAATAGGATTACAAGAATGCTCTTGAAACTTAATGGGAAAAATAAGAGAAATAAATATAATTAATCTCTACTCGAAATTGACGAAACGGAAGAGATAATCTCTTAACTAATTTATTATTGTTCAGGATTCGGGTCTTGATCGTTCTTATCTAAAATAGTTAATAATAAATGACATACACTATCTTAATAAGAATATCAACGTTTTACCACTGATACGAAAAATCAAATAGTTGTTGTAACAGCCCCAGAAAAATTTAA